AGAAAAACACCCAAGCTGTTCTTATTAATATACATATAATATATACAGTGCTTCCAACCACTTACTGCCTGGTTACAGATGTGTAAGAAATTATCAAGAACCCTAGGCATATATCTATGATTGGCATTTTGTGTATGTGTGTGAATCTGTGTATGCATATATAGTTTTGTTTTTCTAAACTAGTTGAAAACATTTTATGATGAGTCTGTTGCTACCTAATTTGAGGTTGATATTTCTTGGAGCGATTACTTTGAGTGTTCATAACAATGCTCTACTTAAGAAATAATACCGTAGTCATTATTAAGAAACCCTCAATTTTGGATTGTCTGTAAATGTACATATTTTTTAGTGACCATTACTACATAAGCGTAACATCAGTATCAATGTCAGATATCAAGACCAGTTTTCAATAAGGTAATATATACCTCAGTTTGTGGTTTGATTTTTATAGTGTGTGTATAAATACAAGCCCTAGCATGAAGAGGAGATCAGAGATGAAATAATTGTCTATGTACTGGATTATTTAAAGTTATATGAATTTCTTTATTGCAGAATTGTTAGAATCTTTATTCCTCATAGGACATGATAGATTCTTTAGAATTGGATATGACACAGTGTTTGCAAAACATATTTTAAAATGGAACTCTTGTTTCTCAGTTTCATAAAATATTTAGAAAAACACTATTTGATTCCGTTAGTATTTTTGTGAGTTATCATGAAGCAAGTAAAATGATGAACTTTTACCAAGAACAAATATTGTGTTTATCACTTGGACACTTATCAGTCTGAGATGCATTTTAAGTTATCTCAAGATGAGACATAATATTTTGGTTATATTCTCTCTACTGCTTTTTCTACAGCTTTTCTCTAAAGAAACTTATTAACATGCATAGTGTTGAAACATATTTTGAATTGCGTGGCTATAAGACTGATAATTTCCCTAAACTTTGCATTCCACGTGGTTTTCTCTTCTGAGGTCTAAACAAATGTTGCTTTTCTAACCTCACAGATCTACATGCCGATTCTTAGTCATCTGAATTTGGTCAAGATTGAGTGTTACTTCTCATTTTCCAGTCTCAAATCCTGTGTTTTGTTTACTACCCTGACTAACAGTCCCCCAAAATAGAAATCCAGGAAACTGGGGTTCCTCCTTCATCAGGATTCATATTACACCATTGACATTTTGGGAATGATAAGTCTTCCTATCCTGTACATTGTAGGTGTTTAATAACATCCTGTTGTCCTTTACATAGCAACAGCACACTCTCCCCTCCCCACCCCACCTCCCAGTTTTAAGGACTGAACCTAAATCTTTATGCATTTCCTGCGTGATAGGTAAGCTTAATGCTGCCAACTTTATCTTCCTAAACTGCACAGTTATTTCCTGCCTGATTTCAGTTGCTTCCAGCTGAGACCCCCCTCGAGAACAGGCTTTTTTCTATTTCTTCATTCTTGTATCTTATATACTCACTAAAATTCTTACTTTATTTAATTAAAAAAAATAACTGTGGGTTTGGTTGTTTTTGAATTACACAAGTGCATGCCTGAGGAGACCAGAAGACGGTATCAGAAACCCTGGATCTTGAGTTGCAGGTGGTTATGATCCGCCATGTGGGTGCTGGGAATCGAGCCCCATCTTCTGGAAGAGCAGCCAGTGCTCTTAGCCAGTCTCCCCAGCCCTCTCACTGAAGTCCTTGCTAAGCACACAGTGTCCTGTGCCCTCTTCCCAACCGTGCTATGATTGTTTTCTTCACAAGAAAACCCTCATTTGATTACTTTTCAGATAATCTGTCATGCTGAAGAATGTTGCATTTTAAAAGTATCTCTGTCCCAGCTACATCTCCAGCCTCTGGCTCAGTTCTTGGCATGTAATAGATTTTTTTCAATCTTGTGTTCGAATGCTGTATCAGATGTTGTAGTGGTCTCATTAGTGACTGTTATTTCCCTAGTCTTTAGCTTCCAGAAATCTTAAATTCAGCTTTAATTAAGAAGTTCTTAGCATTGAACAGGGCGTGTACTTAGTTGATATACACATGTCATTTGTTTTTGAGATAACTAGTTATCGGATTACTGAAGGAATTCATGTAAATTGAGGAAGCTAATGTATGGAGAGACTTTATTTAAGACATTGTATTTCCAGTGAGTGTAGGTTTGTCCATTTATAGAAAGCTTGATGGGACAGTATCATTAGTTTAACTACTCAGTCTTAGAAAAATGTTTATTAGAACATATTTCTATAATCACTGGTCAGAACTATAAATTTTCTCCTTTCAGTTGTAAACAACAAAAGATTCAGTCAATAGGGTGGTTGCAGCGCACACCTTTGATCCCAGCACTTGGGAGGCAGAGGCAGGTGGATCTCTGAGTTCAAGGACAGCCAGGGTTATACAAAGAAACCCTGACTTGAGGTGGGGGAGGGAGAGTTCCAGTCAATATACTGTGTGTGGCTGGGCGGTGGTAGCGCATGCCTTTAATCCCAGCACTCGGGAGGGGAGGCAGAGCCAGGTGGATTTCTCTGAGTTCGAGGCCAGCCTGGTCTACAGAGATCCAGGACAGGGACCAAAACTACACAGAGAAACCCTGTCTCAAAAAAAACAAAAAAACAAAAGAAAAGTCAAAAAAGACAAGTAATCTTGTAAGGCCAGCTTCTCTATGAACGAAGGACTGAACGTGCAGAAGAGGGAATGAGTAAGACTGTACCAGTTCAGAATTCTCCATGCACTGCCTTGCCAGACCAGCACGTCAAGGGAATCCATCTAATAGCAGTTACACTTTCTTTTTCAGGGACTGGCACAAATGTTTTACTCCTTTAAAAAAAAAAAAAAAAAGCTTTAATAAAAGTGGGGACCTGGTATTATTTCCAGAAATAAAACTGAGAGAGAGAGGCAGCTTCCCTGCAGGGAAGGGACCTTTCTTATCTACACTAGGTGCTGACGTGGACAGAGGGGAGACACGCTGCCCCATCCAGGAGGCTTCAGAGTTGTTTGTCACAGACCAGATTTGCTGTCACTGCTGTGTTTGTTCTTTGTCTTGTTTTTCTTTTTCCTAGACTCTGTTTTCTTTAAACTTACACTTTAGAAAAACGTTTTCAATTGTTTAAAATAAAATCTGATTTATTTAGATTTAAATATTAAATATTCCCAGTTAAAAGGTTAACATTCTGAGCCAGGCAGGGTGGCTTACCCCCTGTAATCTCAGTACTCAGGAGGCTAGGGCAGCAGGATCTTGAGTTCAAGGGTAGCCTGGGCTCCATAGCAAGACTTTCTCTCTAAATAATAAATAACTAATGTTGTTTGAACTAGGGGGAAAATAGCAAAGACAGCCTGGTGAGCGTTGTTTCCAAAGCAAGTTTACTAAAGCCTTGGACACTTTGGACTGTAGTGCTCCTGTTTGTGCAGATTGCCTGTGCCTTCTTTTCACCTTGTAATATTGTTTTGAGTATTGATTAGCTTTTGTTCTTCCTATTTGTAAAACCTTCTTGTACATTTTAAAGATCCTATTTGATTTAAGAAAGTATTGTCTATGGTTTTGAGCACCTCCTCCATATACTTTTCAGTATAGCTCATGAAAGGATAGTTTGAATGAAATCTTTCAGCTATTACAGAATGATGTACTTGTAAGTGCGTAAAATGTTAGAGACAGGGTAAAAGAGAAGGATTCTTTTATTTTTATAATCTATTCTATAGTATATCCTGTTTGTCTAACACCCAGGACCTGTAAAGGTTCTAGGAATAGTTAACTAACAAACACTGAACCTTTGCTCCTAGGGAATATAATATATCATGTTCCTATAAGTCTCTGATCACATGTTTATAAACCAGTTAGTTAGTACATAACATTATTTCATGTGCATTTCTTTCATTTTAGTGTATTAACTTATTTATAGACATGATCTCATTATGTTTGCAGCTCAGTTTGGCCTTGAACTTACAAGATACCCTGTCTCTGCTTTCCAAATGCTAGGATTGTAGGTATGCTGCACTACACCCAGTTAATGTGTGATTCCATTTACTATTATCACTATTTTAACATAGAACATGTGACCAATTATAGTATGACTTGTGCCTGAATCAATCTTATCTAACACACATTTTTCTTCATAAGGCTCATTAACTTTGCATCTATGAGTATATAACACTTAGGAACACTTCAGCACTATGCTGAGAGGCCATTTTAAGCTGTGAAAGCATCTATAATAGCACAGCAGTGTAAAAACCGTGGTGCTAAACAGACCACTAAAAAGACACCTGCTTGTATAGTCTGAGTGCTAAAGCAAGACAGAGGTATTGTCTTGTTCATCCCGAGGTAGAAAAGTACATGTTAGGCAACTCACATTTTTACACACACACAGCCTGTAAGACAGGGGGGAAAAGTCACAGGTACTTACTTGAAAGTCTATTAGTTTGGTTTTCTATTGCTGTGATAAAACAATAACCAAAAGCTTGAGGGAGAAAATGGTTTATTTGGCTTACAGCTTCCAGTCCATTATTGAGGAAAGCCAGGGCAGGAACTCAAGCAGAATTCACAGAGGAAGACTTGCTTACTGGCTTGCCCAGCTTGCTTTCTTATACAGTGCAGGACCACCTGTCTGGAGGTGGCACAACCAGCAGTGGACTGAGCCATCAGTCATAATCAAGAAAATTCCTCAGAGACATGTCCGAAGGCCATTCTGATGCATGCAGTTCCTCAGTTTAGGTTCTCTCTTCCCAGGTGACTCTAGTGTGTGTCAAGTTGGCAAAAACCCACACAGAGTTACTGATGACTTTTAGTGCGTAGCTGAATTCATGTGTATGTACAGAATCTCTGAGTGGCAAGAATTGGCTATAGTTGTTTGAAAGAAGCTTATAATGGAGTACTTCCACTATTCATATCGGAAAGAAAGCTTATTTGTGGGTATGTGTAAGTTTCTAGTAATGCAGTCACCTTTACCGTTTTTGTGCCCTCTTGTCTAATGAAATAAAACTGTTTTCATTTAGTTTTTTTTTTCTTCCCTCCCTCAGGGAACAACCTATCTTCAGCACTCGAGCTCATGTCTTCCAGATTGACCCAAACACAAAGAAGAACTGGGTCCCCACCAGCAAGCATGCAGTTACTGTGTCTTATTTTTATGACAGCACAAGAAATGTGTACAGGATAATTAGTTTAGATGGCTCAAAGGTAAGTCACGTTTACTAAATAATCTTACTCTCTTGCTTTGTTCAACATAGAACTTCAAGTTCATTCACATTTTTATTTCCATTAAAATATTCCTTTTTGAATTATTGAAGCTTAACTTGAAGAAACAAAAAGTGATCATTTTTAGAGTAGCAACATTTTTTTTGCCCAAGTTTTTTTTGAATTAACTAACTCCTTATTATATTGAGTTTTATGAGGAAACATATTCTTCAGATTTATGGTGGATTAGTTTATTTAATGAGCATTTCTTATATCTCTGTTTTGTATCCATGTTAAATGATAAGAAAATACTGGTGAACAGTGAATTTCCATATTAATCACTTTTTCATTGTTATAACAATACCAGTTATTGGCTACTTGTGGAGAAAAAAATTTATTTATCTTACAGTTTTGAAGGCTAAGAATCCAAAGGGGATAGCCCTAGCTTAGTGATGGCTTCTCCTTGGTTGCAGTGCTGAATGATTTGATAATGGTGACTGACTTAAAGATGAGCAAGTGATTACATCTTGAGCCACGGTTGAGCTGAATGGGGCCAGACATTCTTCCTTTATGATAGCCCATTCAGAAGAATTGAAGTTTTTAAAAATTACTTTCCTGGAGCACATTCCCAATGACCTGATGATGACCTACCTCTAGATAGAACACTTGAATGTTCTACAATACCACCTTTAAGTCACAAAATTCTTGGGGGGTGGGGTATGGGGCTGAGGATCTGGGTTTGGGTTCTAACACCCATACAGAGGCTCGTAGCCATCTGTAACTAGTTCTAGAGGATCTGACACCCCTTTCTGACCTCTGCAGCACCAGGCACATACATGCTGTATATACATACAAGCAGGCAAAATACTCATAAACATTAAATTAAGTAAATTTAAAACAACAGCAACAAAGACCCTTTAGGAGAAAAGTATAAGACAGAAATCTTAAAGTTTTGCTTTTAAGAGGGGCAGATGATGTAATATTTATGATCAAGGACAATTTGGGCTCCACCCTCAACTCTGTCAATTACTGTTTTGACTTTGAAGAAAGTGCTTTCTGGGGCATACTTTTTCTCAAATCAGTGTAAATAGTTGTAAGGATTAAATAAGTTAATATCGGTAGGACACACTTGGTGCTTGGTGGGTAGTATGCTGTTCAGAAGGGAGAGAATCTTTTATTACCAGTGAATTTTGTATAACTAACTTATATTCCAAACATCAGATTCTGAGGTTTCCTTCCTTCAAGCTTTCTTGAAGGTATGAGGCCTTTCTAACTTTCCATCAGTTCAGTGTATAAGATAGGAACACAGAAGAGAGCCAAAGCACCTCATTGGGCTTTTCGAATCATGTGACCTTGCACAAGGTATTTAACTTGTGTGCATCTGTTTTCTCACATGTAAAAAAGATCTTAACAACTGTGCATGCACTATTATACCAGAGTATTGCTGTAAAGAATAAATACATTTTAAAAAGCATAATGTGCAGCAATGTGTTGACTGGGTGAAGGTGCTTGTCACCTAGCCTGACAGCCCTGGGGCCCACACAGTGGAAGCAGAGAACAGACTCCCACAAGTTGTCCCCTGGCCTACAGGGCATGCATGTGCACATACACATAATATAAACACATTTTACAGTAACAACAAAAAAGTACTATTGTCCTACATATACTTATTATTAATATTACTAGGCTAATAATTTTGCATATGACCTAGTATGGTTTGAAGGCTAAAAGATCATTTAATTTAATGCTAAACTTGTAGTCTGATTTTTCATTATGCTCATTCCTTGTCTTTTTAACTATCTTATAGGGAAGGCTGGAGTTTTAGCATTCATAAAGCCTTGGTAGTGTCTGTCACCACTGCTATCACAACCAAAAGGAAGAAGGCAGGCAGGGATAGTAGATTTATTTCAGGAGCAGACCTTGTGTTGAAGTCTCTAGATTATAGGACCTCAGGGCTATATATACCTTGTGTCTTACATATGTGATTAACTTGTGTTTCTCCAAATAGTTTTCTTTTCACTTTCATGTGAATGACTTAAAAGATGATGATAGCTAATTTCTGTGAAGTGTTATTTAATGAAGAGTAACTGCTCATAACTGTTTGGTTTAGTGAAGTACAACAGATATTAAATGTTATCTCTGACTTTAGACTGTTAATTTATTTTCCCTACTTGAACTTTCAGTTTCTGTAATCTCTTGTACCACTTGACCTAAACTGCCAGGATAATGAACTTTTATTAGCTGGGGTTAAAAGGGTTAAATGGAAAGAAAGGTCAGCGGAAGTAGTCCGTATCCAGGAAGAAAAGCCACACTGAAATACTTCAATGCACTTCAGTTTTCCAAAGTCTTTTTCTACTGTCTCATCTCCATCTCTGTTTTATGATTGCCTTAAAAAACCCAGAGTACCCTAAGTAGGAAGTGTTCCTTTCTTCTTTCTTTGTGCTTGAACTGTACACATGAGGAAGTTTGTTTGTTTTTTTCTTTTGCTTTTTTGAGACAGGCTCTCACTATTTAGCTCTGACTGGCCTGGAACTCAGAAGTTCTCCTGTCTCTGCCTCCCAAATGCTGGGATGAAAGGTGTGTAGCAACATCATATTGCTTTCATTTTCTGGTCATGATATAAAGACTCTAGCTCGGCCTAGCCAGGTTCAAAGCATTCCTGATTTGAAACGAGACACTTTTCCACCTCTTCACCTTAGACAAAAACTCTAGGTTTGAGAGTTGTTGATTTTAAATCACTAATTTTTTTCTTTAAAAAAAAAATCTTAATTCTATAAAAAACCAAAACAAAACACCACACCTTTAATCTCAGCACTTGGGAAGCAGAGGCCGACAGATCTCTAAATTCGCTGCCAGCCTGGTCTACAAAGTGAGTTCCAAGACAGCCAGGACTACACAGAGAAACCCTGTCTCAAAAAACCAGAAAATTTTCTTAGTTGTGTTCTAGTCAAAAAATCTAAGAAATAGATTTTCAAGTGTAGGATTATTTAAAGCTTTTCTTCCGTGATTCAACGACTAATAATACAGAAACGAGGAAAGGTTCAGAATGGAGATGAGAGTGGACCTCTTTAACAAAACACAATGAAGTTAATTTGAAATGGTTGAAATGAACCCTAGTGTCCACCAGCACATTGGTCAGTTTTTCTTGTTGCTTATTAAATGTGTTATCACCTCACTTTTTAGAGTTAGTGGGGTCTGATGCCAAAATGCCCTTTTGGTCTTGGTTAACACTTAGGTCCCTCCTTAAATGTTCCTTGGAGAACACTGAAGGACCACCAAATCTAGAACAGTGCTTGCCTGGTGCCTACAGAGGACAGAAGAAAGCATCAGAGGCCTGTAACTAGAGTTACGGGTGGTTGTAAGCTACCATGTGGGTGCTAAGAATCAAAATCAGGTCCTCTGCAAGATCAACAAATGCTCTAAACTGCTCACCCACCTCTCCAGCCCCTAGACTTTTATTTGATGGCTGTTCCACAAGTTAAAATAATTGTTAGCATGTTTTACATACCTAAAAGTGTATGTGAGTGGAAGCTGTTTTGAACTAAATGGTGAGGATGCTTTATAAATATCAATGGAGAAATTGATCGAGTACAAAGATAAAGCTCTCATGTAACAATAGATAACATCTGTTTCCTGTGAGAAAGGAGGGAGCCAGTTTCCATTGTGCCATCTTCCTTTTCTGTAGTGGGACATGTATGTCCATGTGTCCTTGTTAAAGCTCCCTCAGTTCCTGATAGCGCATAAACATTTACATTTGTAGTGGATTACTTGGTAAACAAATATACATTTTTTCAGAAAATGATGGATTTCCATTGCCCATTTACTAGTTTGCTAGATGACAAATTTAGATTTGACAACATAAATGTTTTTATTATTGGTGCAATTATATTTCTTTTTTTTTTTTTTTTTTTTTTTGGTTTTTCGAGACAGGATTTCTCTGTGTAGCTTTGTGCCTCTCCTGGAACTCACTTGGTAGCCCAGGCTGGCCTCGAACTCACAGAGATCCGCCTGGCTCTGCCTCCTGAGTGCTGGGACTAAAGGCGTGCGCTACCACCGCCTGGCTGCAATTAAATTTCTTAATTTTAGGGGGTACTAGACTACCCAACTATAAATGACCCTTTCCTTTCCAGCACTGGCAGAAAACATGGATTAATATGTTATAATACCTGAAATGTGTTAAGATCTCCAGAGTTAATCTTTATTAACATGCTAAATGCTATGTTTTCTAAGAAATTATATGTGAAATAGAAATGATATTGCCACCAATCTATTATTTTATAAGAAAAGTGAAAATACTTCTTAGGAGTTTGTTTTTTCTTTGAGTAGAGAAAAGGCCTGCTAAGTGATTGAAAGTCTTTTTTTTTTTTGTATGAAAATATATTTTGTGTAAATTAGATTGTAAAAAGCTTGATTATACATTAAAATATCAAAGTCATTTGTATTCATTCATACATTATTTTTTATTTAATTTTATTTTATATATGTGGGTGTTTTGCCTGCATGCCTGCCAGTGCAACACATTCATGCTGGTTGTTTGGAAAGTCAAATAGAAGGTGTCAGGTCCCCTGGAACTAGAGTTCCAGACAGCTGTGAGCTGCTATATAAGTGCTAGTAATTGAACCCAGGTCTTTTGGAAGAGTAGCCAGTTTTCTTAACCCTCTTAACCACTGAGATAGTTCTCCAGCCCCTCATACATTTACTTTTTGAAAGATTCTGTTAAGAGTAAAGCCTGTTTGTTTCCAGAGAATAGCATCTAAGATTAATAAATACTGATCCTCAACATTCAAAGGGAAGAAGCTGACCACATTCAAACCTGTTCGAAGGCTCAGTGGTTGAGCACTTGCCTTGTATGTGCCAGGTCCTGAGTTTGATGGCCACTCTACCAAAACGAGGCAGTAGCTCTAAAACCAAGATAAAAGCAACTGCTAACATTTGTCCATTACCAATTTGTGAAAAAAAACGGCAGGTTTACAAGGTACATCTTTGGGAGCTTGGGTGCTGTCTCAGTCAGTAAAGTGCTTACTTGTGCAGACATGAGGATCTGTTCTATCCCCAGCACCCATGTCAAAAGCTGAACTATGTGGTAATGCTTGTAATCTTAGCATTGGGGAGGGGAGACAGGTGAATTCCTCAGCCTTGGTAGCCAGCCAGCTTAACCTAATCAGAAAGCCCCAGGTCCTAGTGGGAGACCCTTTCTCAAAAACCAAGTTGGACAGCTTTTGAGGTTGTCATCTGAAGTTGTCAAGTGTGCACAGGCGTGCGCGTACCTATATATACACACACACACACACACACACACACACACACACACACACACCCTAACACATACATACCTTTGAAGTTTTTTGGATCATTAAAAATATATCTGTAGTTCTACTAGTTACATGTATCTACATTGCCACAGCTACAACTATCTTTATCTATTTAACTTTGTGGGTTACAAATGATCCTGTTTTTATGTAGCTGCAATGATCTTATATTTAAATGCCTATTGCTTATTTTTGGCTGGCTACTTTTATTTTTCAGGCAATAATAAATAGCACCATCACTCCAAACATGACATTTACTAAAACATCTCAAAAGTTTGGCCAGTGGGCTGATAGCCGGGCAAACACTGTTTACGGATTGGGATTCTCCTCTGAGCATCATCTTTCAAAAGTAAGTTATTTCAGTAATCTCTGAGAAAATCTTTATCTCTAATTTATGTGTCCTAAATATATAATAGCAAACAGAGAATACAAAATACTGGAGAAATTTGTTTAATTTCAATTGTGAACTATAGAACTATAATGACTTTAAAATAAGAATATTAATATAATGTTAAACGTTATAAATAAATGTAAACATATTAAAATAAAAATATCTTTGGATTCCTTATAATTTTGCATAAAGATTTATTATACACATCCAGAATAGTCACCACTGGTTAAGAAGACTTATCATAGTGAATTATCTGTGTAGCAGGAAGGAAAAGTGGGAACTACCTCTCCAGAAGGGATTTTGCTAAAAAAAAAAATTATTTGGAGATGGTCTTCAAGATAAGCAAACATGAACTCTTCCAAATAGTGAAAATTACAGTGAGCAGGAATATAGATTTTAGTTGGATTTTGTTATTGTTGTTTGTTTCTTAATATGACAGCAGTCATGTAAGTTTTTGTTTGTTGAGAAAACTCTGATTTGCTTGGATGTAGAATCTCTGAACTGTCTGCAGTACAGAGTGAGATCCAATCGGCACCAAGAGGAATTTCTCGAGTAATGCTGATCAAATGAATTATGATGGCCAGAAAGACTTACAAAGTGCAGAGCATCACCAGCTAAATACTGGAAATAAAACAGTTGTCCTGCCAATAAAGAGGGCCACCCATGCTTACATCAGGGGCATCTTGAGTTCTTGTGGAAATTACACAGAAAGAATGGATATCGAGAGTGGAAAGGTGCACAGGATACTAAGGTGATTAGGATGAATAGCACTCACCTTGCTCTCTAGAGTCTGTGCCCACAAGACAAAGATTTGTGCTAAAACTTCAGTGTTAATTATTCTGTTTAAAGGGTTTGCCTTTAACAGAATTTCAGATGCTTACATGAGATTTGATATAAACAGAATCTGAAAATTAAGTTGTTCGAATGCAAGGTAAACAGACTCTTGTAGGTAGATTCAGTTCATATATACATTAAACCTTAAGCTTATTTACTGTAGAAATTGTTCAGATCCTTTAAAATGAGTTATTTTAAATGTCTTACACCTTTGTGAATATTTATTGACTTGATTTATAATTAGATAGTTTAGTAGTTGAAATAATCTACTTGTTTTTCTTGTGTTTTAGTTGTAAACATTTCTTTTCATGTATGTTTTCAATATAAATTAAAGTTTAAAGCTCAAAGTTTGAAGCTATTTTAACTATTGCCTTTGTGATTATAACCCATTCTCTATAAGACACTTACAGTGTGAGTGTGGCCTAATAGGACTGCTCTTAGCAAGTCTTACTTTCTAAATATATTTTTGAACTGTGGTATAGTTGTGAGTCTTAGATCAGAGTTTCTCAGTATAGCAGTTCAGATGAATTTCTCTTCCAGAAATGATCTTGAAAAGTTAGATGCTTATTCTAACACATTAGTCATTACTGAGACACTTTATAGAACTTTCTTTGGGTTGTCTGCTAAAGGAGAGAAATTATACTTTTTGCTACATGAATTTCATGGTTTTTCACAACAAAGAGCTAAAATTGTAAGTTGATTTCTGAAACAAACTTTCATGAAATACCTTTTAAGCTTCAGTAATTTTGACAATAAATTAAATCTTTAGTTACGTTTTTTCACGTTACTGAGTAGCTAGCAAACAGAGTAAAGGAGTAGTCAGTTAAAACCTGTCAGTGATACAGTCTCAGCTTACAGCCTCTTACTTGTGTGTTTTGGGAGAGGGTGTCTGGGAATGGCTTTATGTTATAAGAATTTTTTTCCTCTTCAATTTAAAATATACTTACTATATCTGAATATAGTGATAGAATAGCTTCCATATCCCAAACAAGTAGGTACTGTGTGTGACAGTGGTGTTTCTAAGAATTAGCATTTCATGAATAATTTTTTCGTTTTATGACCTTTTATGTTATTCTTTTTCTTTTTTAACTTTATGTTATTGCTTTCTGTTACTGAATTGGCTATTTAGAAGTCTTTGCTAATGAGTTTTTTAGTTGTTAGTGATAATATAATGATATGTAATGTGTCTGTATGACTTACATAATATGGGCATTTATATTTTATTATTAGTTAAAAGCTTTTTCTTAGTATTTTGATGTACAAATAGATACTTAAATGGTTGCATTTTCTTAGCAATTAAAAAAAAAGTATAGTATACGCCTGTCTGCTGATTCTACCACTCATGTGAGTCTTAATAAATTGTTTCTTAATAACCAGAGAAGAATACAGATAAGCCAGCTTACCAAATTCTAACTTCTTGATATGGTGATATTTTGAATAAGATTTATCGCAGCGCTTATGTACAGTGTCTGGGGTTTAGGCTCTTCTCATTTTCATACTACAAGCTGTACTTGTTGGGAGGCTGTGCTGGTTATGTAAGAGTCAGTTCAGAAAATGAAGGACAACCAAGGAAACACAGGCCCTGTGGCATGCTGCTAGTTGGCTAATGCATATAGTCTCTGTGTGTTCAGTTTGCAGAAAAGTTTCAGGAATTTAAAGAAGCTGCTCGTCTCGCAAAGGAGAAGTCGCAAGAGAAGATGGAACTAACCAGTACACCTTCACAGGTGGGTGTGCTGGATCTGCTTTCATGTGTGAGCCCTGCTCACTTCAGACCATCATATCCTTTATGCCAGAGTAAAATTTGGAAGAATAATGGCAAAATTAATTACCAGAGTAGATAGAGAAGTGCACTCTTGATTAGTCTCTACTGACAGAGAAATACATCAGTGTTTACAAGAATAATTTTAAAAATCAATATTAACTCAGATAACCTTTACGTTCCTGTCTTAGTTTAAGTTTTTATTGTTGTGAAAAGACACCATGAATGACCACAGCAACTCTTAAAAAGTAAAAACGTTTAATTGAAGGGTTCACTTACAGTTTCAGAGGTTCAGTCCATGGTAGTGTGCAGACAGACATGATGCTAGAGCTGAGAGTGCTACATCTTACAGACAACAAGAAGTGGACTTAAAGTCACACTGAGGAAAGCTTGAGCAAAAGACACCTCAAACCCTGCCCCCACGGTGACACACTTCCTCCAACAAGGCCACATCTCCTAATAGTGCCACTGGGTCCAATTTCTTTCAAACCACCACAGTACCTAACAGCAGAAGAACAAAAGTACAAAATGATGGACCTGTGTTTTTGTCAATGTTCTTTTACACCGGCAGTGGTAAGACAGACATCAGAGTCTCAGAAAAACAAACAGAAATGTGCTCGCTCGTGTTCTCGAAGCTAGGTGTGACACACCCTGCAGAACCACATGGGAAAGCCGGAGGGAGTAGTTAACAGGCAAAAAGAGCAAAGGAAATCTGTGCCAGACTTTCGCTTAGGATTTCATGGGAAAAGTGGAGAAACAATAAAAATAGTTTAGGATTGGCTAGTTTGAGCAATTTCATTGGCTCTCAGTTTCTACTGGCTTTAATCTAGCTCTGGAGTGATTAAGACAACGGAATAGGTTTCTTCAGTACTAGGCTAGATAAGAAAATGTTTTGTGTGATACTAGCATGGCTAGTTTGACATCTAAGGCCCCTTCCCCACTAGGCTCCTAGTTTCTCTAAGTATAGGCTAGTTCTAAAGGAGAGAAGTAGTTTATCTAGCCAAACATTACAAAATATTGGATAATTGTGAGAGTAGAGTTGCTTATGTACAATCTTGACAACCTGAGTTCTCTCCCCAGAACTCACAAGGTAGACAAGGTGGCAAGAGAGAACCAACATCCATGTCCTCTGTACCTACATGCCTGCTGTAGCTTGTGCATCCCTCCAACATCCATGTCCTCTGTACCTACATGCCTGCCATAGCTTGTGTATCCCCCCAACATCCATGTCCTTTACCCACATGCCTGCCATAACTTGTGCATTCCTCCAACATCCATGTCCTCTACCCACATGCCTGCTGTAGCTTGTGTATCTCTCCAACATCCATGTCCTCTGTACCTACATGCCTGCCATAGCTTGTGCATCCCTCCAACATCCATGTCCTCTACCCACATGCCTGCCATAGCTTGTACATCCCCCCAGCATCCATGTCCTCTACCCACATGCCTGCCATAGCTTGTGTATATCCCCCTAACATCCATGTCCTCTACCCACATGCCTGCTCTAGCATGTGCATCCCTCCAACACCCATGTCCTCTACCCACATGCCTGCCATAGCTTGTGCATCCCCCCAGCATCCATGTCCTCTACCCACATGCCTGCCATAGTTTGTATATGCCCCCACTATAACAATAATAATAATAATTAAAAAAATCAAACATTACAAAATATAAAGCATTGTAAAATTTAAGGCATGTGGTTCTTCCCGGTCATAAAAATCTACTTATATCTAACTATTTGGTAAGCCTCACTAAGTATAAAGAATTCATTTTTATTTTAATTAGGAGAGTTCTACTAAATGTCTTTGCTCACAGACAGCGTTTATTGTGGATTGAAACCAAAGTCCATTCTTCCATACTTGTAGCAACCTGGAATAATTTGGGTGATCTTTGTGAAACTGCATTGGCTCTCTTTCAAATGCTCTACTGCTCCAGTGATTCCTTTAATCATAAAAACCACTCAAAATTATGTGCCAGTATGTATTGGGAGTTCTGATTCTTTAGGTGAATGATTTTCTAGTTACCAAAAGATGCAACACAAAGCACATTCAGTAAGTAAATACACAAAAATATCAATAAAGTTGTAGTGGATGATACATGTCATTGTCTTTAGCTACTGTTTCTCCAGTTATAACTTAGCATTGTGTTTAATTGATTGTAAACTGTTACAAGTTATAAGCTAATTTCTTATCTCTGGTGGAAGGAAAGTCTTTAAGCTTTTGCTTTGGTCAAATGAATATAGAAAAGATGATCATATTTGAAAAAGTGCCATGATATAAAAAGAATGAATAATATCTTAATTTGATCAGCGCTTGAGAAACAGGCCTTAATTTGTCTTTTCAGATATTTCAAGTCTATTAACTTACTGTGTAGGAGCCAGAGAGAAAAGAAGAAAAAACATTTTCTCCTTCCTCCTCTTCCCTGCATTTGTGACAACCACAAACAATGTTTCTCTTTTGTTTGAGTGGAATAATTTAAATTGAATAACTGGTGATAGTAGATAGTAGATAGTCAACATCCTTCTTTTTACTTGAGGAGGTACACTACTTCAGTTAAGAAGATTTGAGACGTGGGACGGGGATATAGCTCAGTGATAGAGAGACGACCTGCATACCAGACTCTAGGTTGGATGCCCAGCACTACAGAAAATGAGATGGGAGCACACAACGAACGGCTCAGCATATAAATCACTTGCTGTGCAAGCCTGTAACCTAAAACTGATCCCCAGAACCACATGGAGGAAGGAGAGACCCAGCTCTTGACCCTAACGCCTCCCACTGTAACACTCATGTGCCCCTTCTCTTCCTTATCCCCTCTCTCTGCTTCTCTGAACCTCCCTTCTCCTTCTACCTCAACAAATACACAACAAACAATAAATTAAATTAAAACACAAAACCATAAGCATTTTCAAGCCAGACAAACTTAAATGTTTTTTTTTTCTGTGACTAGAGAAGTTGTTTAACTCGAGTATTTATACATCTTAGCATAAGTATTATATCACTTTATTGAGAGAGGTGAGTGTAATAAGGATAATGGCAACTTATGGTTATGAACAATGTGTGCGCTAGAGCTGGGCTTGAATTTTGGCACTAACCTTTATTAGCTTTATGAATTAGGTGAGTAACTGGGGGTGGAAGTTGGACATAAAAAATGGGAATAAAACCAACATATTCTCAGGGTTATTGTGAGACTTCAATAAGGATTAGAAAATGCTTATATATAGTAAATCCTTAGGAAATATAGGCACCTGTTGTTGTTGAGTGAGTGTGATCATAATGGTGAGAATAATAATTATAAAGTCTTTAAACAGTGCCTGGCACATAATACTTGTTAGGAAAACATAGATGCCTTTGGTGGCCTAGTGGCTTTGGGTTTCTATTGCTTTGGTAAAACCATGACCAAAAGCAACTTGAGGAGGAGAGGGTTTATTTGGTTACATATCCCAGGTCATAGTCTGTTGAGGGAAGCCAAGGCGGGAACTCAGACAGGAAAGAACCTGGAGGCAGGAGCTAAAGCAGAAGCCATGGAAGAGCTCTGCTTATTGGCCTGCTCCTCATGACCTGCTCAGCTTGCTTTCTTTATTCATGTATTTTTATACAAGTTGCATGTACGCCTGTATGACAGAAGAAGGATCAGATCCCATTATAGATGGTTGTGAGCCACCATGTGGTTGCTGGGAATTGAACTCAGGACCTCTGGAAGAGCAGCCAGTGCTCTTAACCACTGAGCCACCTCTCCAGCCCCCTCAACTTGCTTTCTTACATAACACAGGACCATCTGCTTAGACTTGGCACTGCCCACAGTGGGTTGGGCCCTCCTACATCAATTATTCGTCAGGAAAATGCCTCACAGGCTTGCCTTCAGGCCAGTCTGATAGAGGTAATTCCTTAGTTGAGATCCCATCTTCTCAGATGACTAGTTTGTGTTAAGTTGGCAAAAAACAACCAGCACAACATGCATCAGAATTCTTTTGGAAACTTATTAAAGCACACTATAGTTTCTTATTTAATAAGTCTAAGATGGAGCCCAGATATTTGTATTTCTGCTTTCTTTTCAGGAGATACTGATATGATTGGTCTTATGTGAGGAATGCTGTAGACAAGTCATTCTATCTACCTTCAGACCCTGAACTAAATGGAGTCTTGCCTTTAGACAGAAGTACTCTTGAACTAAGGCAATGTGTACTCCTGGCTGAGACGGAGAGTGTTAAGTTAGCATGAGCCTGTCAGTGTAGCACTGTAAGTGTCAGTCAAGTCTGTGTAGGCTGTAATAAGTCTAGGTGAAGTCTAGAAGAGTAGAACGGGAGTGGGACAGATTGGGACTGTAGGGTACAGGCTCTTTTTGTCTCTTGGAATCAAAACCAATAGTTAGTCTATTAATCAAAAAAGAGAGCTAATGCTTGAACAGGTCTGTGATCCCAAGTACTCTGGAGGTTGAGACAGGATTGTAAAGTATGCCTGGGCTACACACTGAATTTAGAGCCATTCCAGACAACTTAAATAAATAAGATCCTGTCTTAACGTAACAGTAAGTAAAAAACAGGGTTGAGCTATAGCTCGGTGATATAGTGTCTGCTTAATGTACAGGAGGCCCTCGATTGAATCCCCATTATTGGGGGAGAAATGTGAGGAAAACGTTTTAAAGGATTCTTACTTAAAATTTTTATGTTTACATTCAATAATTTTAATTCTCCAATATTTTAATCTAAAACCTTTGAATATGTTGTTGACTTGAATCCTGCCTTTCTTTTCTATGTTTTGATTCTAGCAGACCGACGATACTAACAGTTAGTTGTTGTGGGAGGTCTCTGCAGGCTGTAAAGCAGGCAGGGAAATGAGCCTGCTGAGGACAGACTGAAACTCGGTTCACCCTGATTTAGGTAACTGGTGCGGGGCCAAGATTTCTTGGAGTCTGATATATTCAGATATAGCTTGTATATTTTTGCCATATTTAAGCACAGTACAATTTTGGATAAAGTTTCCAGATAACAACTCATCCCCTTGAGTTCAGCCAAGCTTAAGATATATTTACCATGAAGCTCTTTACAAAGTACATGTATGGCTTCTTCCCTGAAATGGGTTCTCTGGACTCAGAAACAGTGCTCAAGATAAGGATCTAGGGAGAGTGACTGAGTAAGCACAATGCCTGTAGGTATCAGGGCTGGCCTGACCCTAAGATGACATTTAGGCTCTTGTAAAGTACAAATGACATCTCTTACAAGGAAAAGTTTTATGGCCTAGAAGCAATGCTCAAGATTTCGGGGGAAAGGGTCTGGGATTAACAAACATAATGTTCTGAGTGATATGGGCAGAGACTGACTCAGCAGGTAGCAAAGGATTTCCAGGTTGTAAACTACATTTTCCCCCAACGTTCTGGGAGAACGGCCAAATATCTTCTCCCTTTGGAGAGAGCAGGGGAGATCAGGTGTGCGTTTAATTTTCCTGGTTTCTCCAGTGCTTCTCTGTGTACACAGGACCTTTGTGCCCTCTACACATTTTCTTGAGTTTTGAGGTTGTTTTTTTGCTTTGTTTTGTTTTTGTTTTTATGGGTGCGTTTATTTGGGCTTGCAATTCAAAGGGATATATGTTCACTACCTCAGAGAAGGTGAGGCTGCTGGTCACATTGCATCTGAAGTCAGGAGGCAGAGGGAGATGAATTCAAGGTTGTTAAATAGAACTAAAGCTTGGCACTTGCAAAGATATCAGAATATTCTATTTTTATATCTTTTCTCTGATATCTGGTATGATAGTATGTAAAAATACATAGTGTATTATATGTGCTTAATTCACCTGTGAATTTTATTTTACTTTATAGCCATTCACTTTTCAGACATGTTAAAGCATTTCATTTGATTTTAATTAAAATAACTACTCTAGTTTAGCATTCTAAATTGATTAATTTACATAATATTTAATCCAGTTATTAATTATGTAAATACAGTTGGCATAAACAATCTTGAAGGTAAATACAACTGGCTCCTGTTAGGCGTTTAATGCAGTTACTGGGTACAAAGTATGTAAGCAGAGTGAAGATTGACCCGTTCAATCAGTTAGTACATCTTACAATATTACTTAGTGGTTGGAAAGATGGCTCAGCAGTTAAGAGTACTTGTTTTTACAAAGGACCAGAGTTCAGTTTCCAGCACCTATGTCAGGGAGCTTACAACCCCAAGTAACTTCAGCTCCAGGGGATCCAGCGCTCTGCACTCTTCTGGCCTCTGTGGGTACGTGCATACACTCACAAACACACATACCTACACATGAACTAGAGAATAAATCTTTTAAAAAAAATAGATGGGTTATTCAGACTCAGATTTTCTTTTTCTTTCCTTTCTATTCCTCTTTTTCCCCAGGATTTCTTTTCTTTTCTTTCTTTTTTTTTTTTTTTTTTTTTTTGCGGGGTCAGGGGGTTGCGGGGGGGGGGGGGGGGGGGGGGGGGGGGGGGGGGGGGGGCGGCATTGTTTCTAAATGCTTACTGCTTTGCTAATCCTTAATATTGATATAAAATTGTAAAATGCTTTTAACATAATGAAAAGCTTGTTAATCTGCTAGACTTTATATTTAGAACTCTGTGAAAACCCTCCATGAGAGGTCTGAGTTTCAGCAGTCAGAGAAGCAGTGTCTTAAAGGAAAGGTGACCCCTGTCAGGTAGGAGCAGAGGAAACCCATGGCCTTGCTACATGCCGGGCAGAACTGTGCCCTGTGTAAGCACTGTTAGAGTTGCCAGAAGCTGGGTTTCCAGAGATGGTGGCCCGAATGGTGACAGTGTGGGGAATAATTGACACCAGAGGATGGCAGGGTGCTTGCCTGGCGTCTCAACTCCATCCTCTGTGTGTATGACAGTCATCAAGTTTCTCCCCAGATTTTCCTCTCTGACTTCTGCACAGAAGAGAGAGGTATTGAAAATTTTATTGAAGTATGAAAGAATGAGGTGGAATGAGTCTTTCATGAATGTTTGTTAAATAATAAAGGGCCTGTTTTAGTTTAGCTAAAAAGGATGAAACTAAAGAAATTTCATTTCAGGCATTATTTGAATTAGTACAGAGTCTGGTGAGGAAGGATGGAGCTACCAGTGCCTCCCACACTGCCTTACTCCAGAGGTGGTGATGTTTTGTTTTACTGAGACACTGTCTCACGGTGATACTCAGGCTGGCCTTAAGCATACTATCCTCCTGCCTCATCCTCTTGAGTGCTGGGATTGTAGACAAACGCCACCCTGCCCAGCTGCCATTTTTTCATTCTAGAGTAATTTTATGAATATCATTAATTTCACTTGGTTACTTTTATTAACCCAAATATTTTCACGTTTTTAAAATTACATTTCTAAATTGTTATCTTTATAATTTTAAATTATATTATATTTTGGTTAATTTTCTTATGAGTTGCTTTCCTGAAAAAATAATTATCTTTTTTTAATCTAATTCAAATTTTAGTTGCTATTTGATTTCATCACAAGGACTTCATTTAGATGACATTGTGTGCTTGAACAAAAGTGTAACACTTTTTAAAGCAATCTCTTACTCTCTTTTCTCTCTTCTTTTGTTTAAAGGAGTCCGCAGGAGGAGACCTTCAGTCTCCTTTAACCCCAGAAAGCATCAATGGCACGGACGATGAAAGGACGCCGGATGTGACACAGAACTCGGAGCCAAGGGCTGAGCCAGCTCAGAATGCGCTGCCCTTCTCACATAGGTACACGTTCACCTCGGCAATCATGATTCAGTAGGATGTGCAAATATCAGAATGCGCTGCCCTCCTCACATAGGTACACGTTCACCTCGGCAATCATGATTCAGTAGGATGTGCAAATATCAGAATGCACTGCCCTCCTCACATAGGTACACGTTCACCTCGGCAATCATGATTCAGTAGGATGTGCAAATATAGAGGCTTATTTGATTCAGAAACTCTTGAGTGGAAAGCCCAGGTCAGACTTCTTTAATTAATTTGTTGGTTTTGGTTGCTCAAATTGATTGAATGAATATTTTCATTATCTGTGTGGAAAAAGGGATATTGAGTTAATTATACGAGAAACTTTTTCAATGGAACAAAACATAAATCCCTTTTTAGGGGGCTTTTTTTTTTTTTTTTTTTTTCTCCAAGACAGGGTTTCTCTGTGTAACAGCCCTGACTGTCCTGGAACTTGTTCTGTACACCTCTGCCTCCTGAGTGCTGGGAAAATCTCTTCTATTTTTGAAGACCCCTTTTGTTACCTAGTTTTCTGTTTTCATGTGTGTAACTTAAGAATTATACATTGTAATTAGAAGCAATAGGATTCCTACTTTAAAGTGAAGCTTTATTGTAGTCCTAGAGGTGTCATACCACGGTTTCACAGACGACAGTAGACACCAGGCTTGAGCCTGTGAAAAGTAATGACAGACTGTTTTGTGTACCAACAGAAGAAAAGCTTGAATTGCTTCTGAATTTTTAAAAGAATTCTGTAGTCTAAAAGATACAGTGTGTTCTAAATGTGTTATAAGCTAGTTACATTAATTATTGGCCATACTGTGTTATTATTAGACTGTAAAGAGGAATGTGAAATGGTACTATTGAAGTTTTTTTTTTTTAACAAAGCTTATCTATAATCTGCCTTAACATTAATTTTTACTCTTAACTGAATATTAGTTTATGTAAAATTAAGAAAATAGTTTTATTTTACTGCACATTGTTTTTGAGGGACCAAGTTTTAGAAAATTAAATTTTTGCAAAGTTGTTGCAAAGTGAAAGCCGGGGCAGTGGTGGCACACGCCTTTAGTCCCAGCACTCGGGAGGTAGAGGCAGGCGGATCTCTGTGAGTTCAAGGCCAGCCTGGGCAACAGAGTGAGTTCCAGGACAGGCTCCAAAGCTACACAGAGAAACCCTGTCTTGGGGGTGGGGGTGGCGGAGGGAGTTACAAAGTGACATATTTCAAGCTGTCCTAAGTGAATTTTAATTTTCATTTAACTGTATCAAGTAATAGGTTCATAGGATTAAACATATTAGACAAGCACTGAGTAATCTTATCGGGCTGAGGAGGAAGGAAATCAGGCGTTGATTTTTAAGACTAAATGGGATATTTTGAATGTAAGGATGCTCTAATACCAACTCTACATGTAATAGTAAAACATTTTGAAGTAAGTTGTTCATGATTTGAATTACTGTAATGCAAGTGCTTTTTTTCTCTAGCTATACAGAGAGCTGAACTCAGGAAACCCTCATTCCCTCAATCTGACTACCATACATTCATGTTGATTTAGTGAGCAGTCTTTTAACAAGACTGCAATTCTTTGATAGCAATACAAAAATTACATTATTTAATTATAAAGAATGATATTGTAGGATAGGATTTTAAAATATTTTAACTGCATTAAGGAAAGGAAAAACTTCCTTTCTATCAAGTAATATTTAACCTTTCCATTTAAAAGACTGAACTGCACTGATCATAATTATATAGTTAATTTAACACCTAAATTGAACCATCTGTACTGAATACTGTGGCATTTAGAAATAAGAACTTTTAAATTTAACATTTGTAGAAGCTCCTTCTAGTTTATACACTTAAAATTTCCTAAATGTTTGTTGTTTTCCTAATCCTTAATATTGATGTTACTTCCCTAGAATTGGTCCCCATCTAATGACTCTTTTCCTGTGTTCTTGAGTGTCTGTTAGAAATCACTTTTACCTTGAAGATACTTCTGTGACCCATGACTTGTCGTGGAGGATTGATAGTGTTCTAAATAGAAAACCTAGGAGATCAGTTTAACCTTACAATTCTGTTGAAGGCATTTTATAATCATACAGTTTTTCTTATTATTTTAAGAATTCCCAGCTATAGGATTTTATAAATGTATTCCTTTGAATTCAATGATACATGATTCGAGATTCATCTACTTCCTTGATTGAAATAAAGATTTTCATAGGAGGTAGATTATTTACAGTTACTGCAAGAATTCCTGATTGTCAAAAAGATAGAAGACCTCAGAGATGGTATTATTCAAGATTTCCCAAACGATGGTAGTTTCAAATCAACTTAATAGGTCTTTCATGGCTTCTGAAAAAGAAGATAAGTAGCAGACATCAGTAAAGCTGACTGTAGTGTTTCAGTGTTATGCATACATGTGTGCATGCTGAATTACAATGTGAAGCATCATAGTTTGAAAGCATATGCCTTTGGCTTATGAGAAAACTAAATCCTAAAATTTAGTTTATGTGTCCTAGGTCCAGTTGCTTATTAGTAATCACTTTGATTTGACAGCTCAGTTCTTCTGACCCTGCCCTAGTATGTATATAGGTATACATGTCGTAATGCATACATAATAATTTAAAACAAATTTTATGTGTATGGGTGTTTTGCATGCAGGCATGCCCATGCCTGGTGCCCAAAGAAGCCAGAAGAGGGTGTCAGATCCCCTAGAACTGGAGTTACAGATGTTTGTGAGCCACTATGTGGGTGCTGGTATCTGAACCTTGATCTTCTACAAGAACAACAAGTGCTTTTAAGCGCTGAGCCAACTTTTCAGCCTCTGTTGTATTATTTTAAAAGCAAATCCTAGATCCATAATTTCATCCACAATAGTTTCTTAAAATTATCTTGAACTTTTAAGGAAATATAACTAAGCTGTGACAGTTTTATTTTCCCTAATTCAGTGGCATAATGCCTTACCTTGAATTATTTACTACTTTCTTTGAATTTTAAAAACTATACTGCTAAATTAAAGTGTAAGCATATGGGCTCTTACGTACTCTTTAGTCAAGTGCTATAGGACTGTTTTGTGTCCCTTTCATAAACTATGCAAAAATAGTCTAATCGAATATGTTTTGAAGAGTGAACACTCTTTGGTCTACTTTAAATGCTTTCAAAAGCTTAGGAGATGTAAAACAGGAAAACGTGAGGGTGAATGTTTACTAATTTCTTTGAGGGTATGTTATTACATCTTTTCTAAATTGCTTTTTTCTTTATAATTATTTTTAACTTAAATGATAATATCCTTTGGGATTGAACAAAAACTCATTGACAAACTGAAGTGACTTTTGAGGGTGTAATTTGAGACCGTAGTCTTAAACTAGCTGGTAACTAAAATGCATTTAGACCCTAATAGACTAACTTGTATGGACGCGTGTACAAAAGTTTCCCCCTCTTATTCAAGGTAATGGTTTGCTTCCTGGTGTCATTTGTTTGGAATTCTAGAATGTGTTATCTCTTACAATAAGTGTTTAGATTTTTTAAATAAGATTTAAGACAACCTAAATTCTCTCAGAAGTAGTTAGTTTTATATTATTGTAGTGCTGTTGGAATGTGATACTGAAATATACTACTGAAAATTAAAATTTTTTATTTTGTTAATTATAACTTTGGTTCTCAGAGATGCAGTATTATATTGGTAAATAACTGCTATAATCTTTTTGAGAGTTCAGAACTTATATCAGCAGTTTGTGAAGCTATTTTTGTACTGACAATTTTTGATAAGTTTGGCTACTGTAATGGAAAATAGGCTTTTTCAAGCACTGATTATATTTGGAGTCTTCTAACGTTTGGATAATACATTCTTATGGTGCTGCTGGACTTTATGCATTTTGGGGGTACTGCATGTATCTTCTATTCTGTTAGAGATTTCCCTGCCACTTCTTGTGTGTTTGCAACAACTCATTAAAAGGTGTATGCAGAAATACTTTCTAGTATATTGCTTTTTGCTATAAAACAATGTAATAGTAAACACCTGGGTTGATCCACTTATATCTATTATCTAAGTTTCAGAAAGGGACTAGGCCGGGCAGTGGTGGCGCACGCCTTTAATCCCAGCACTTGGGAGGCAGAGCCAGGCGGATCTCTGTGAGTTCGAGGCCAGCCTGGACTACCAAGTGAGTTCCAGGAAAGGCGCAAAGCTACACAGAGAAACCCTGTCTCGAAAAACCAAACCAAACCAAAACAAAACAAAACAAAAACAGAAAGGGACTAGAATTGAAATTATACCTGGAGATTTTTCTGCAATTTCTGTATTTTAGGTAACATTTTAACCAGTTTTTAAAAAATTATTTATATTTAAGTGAGCTAAAGTATACCAGAATGTACTTTTTATAAATTAGATACAGTTTGTACTTATTTGCAGATGTTACAACAGAAAAAAGTGACTAGTGTTATGAAGCCTAAGCACTGCCTGGCGTGCTGGCACACGCCTTTCATCCTCAGGGGATGGGGCAAGTAGAGCTCCATGGGTTCTAGGCCAGCCAGGGTTCCATAGTGGGACCTTGTCTCAAAAGGGTCTAACTTACCATATGCTATGTACATCTAGGCATACATCTCCTTCCTTTTTAAGTAGTAAACAGAACTTAGAAGGTTGTAGTTAGTAGCTAAAGTAAAAATAACAGCTGTAGATAATTTTTGTTTAGATAAATCTATAAAGCTGGGATTTAACTTAATAAGAAGTGATTTTTATCACTGATAAAATTATAGGCAAAAATTTTACATTATACAGTTCCCTTAACTGCTATAGTTGTGACTTTGCATTGTCAAACCTCAAAAATTATGCTAGATTTTTCAGAATTAATATGAAAGCTAAGAAAATTGTGATCATAACTCAGCAATTTAGGAATACAGAATTTACTTTACCATAATTGTGAAAGGGTGGCATTTTTATAACAAGTGCCATCTTGTTAATTTGCTGCTTAAATACTGATCTGCATTCTCTGCAAACTGAGAAGCAATTTATGTCTTT